GCCTTGCTTCAGACTGTTAGCTCTTCTATTATCCTACCACTTCCAGCTGGTGATTACTTGTTTCCAGGAACAAATCCTTCTGAACTCTCCTATATTGCTTCAGTTGCCCATTGTGTGCACCTGTTCCATATTATCGGCACATTTTTGTCACCTTTAGAAATTTGTGTGGCATGAAAATATGCTACTGAGATGTGGCCGTGTGACCTGAGCTTTGGGTGAAGGATTATTCCTACCCAAAATAGATTTGAGACTTTTTGCAAGCTGACTTTGTACAAGAGCAGACCTACAAAATTTAGCAGTGGCAAGAGTAACTCTCATCTTTTATTTCTGGGCCAGTGTCCTTTGTTTTATACTCAACCTCTGCACTTCTGGAATTCAAAAATTCATGATCAGGGCTGTCCAACTTCTGAATGGCTAGTGGGCCACAGGCTTCACCCTCTGTGCTGTGCCACAGTGGGCGGGAGGAGATAGTCCTCACCATGGGCTGCCTGGCCCCCTGCGGCCATTCTCTTCTGGCCCCCCCTTTCGCCCCCCATATACCTCCCAGGGTAGAGTCAAGAAACGGAAGTTGGAGGAGGGAGCCTGGAGACCCTAGCAGTAAGAGCAGAAGGAGGGATGAGGGAGTTTCCTTTGTAGGCTGGATGCAGCTTTCAGGCTGGATGCAACCCACGGGACACCAATTGGGCAGCCCTATTCTAGATAGTCCTTCAGTTCATAGACCTCTTACTGATATTTTGCAACCCCTTAAAATTTCATTAATAAATAAAGGTCTTGCACATTTACATCTATTCTGTGGGTGTTTTCAGTCTGCAGAAGACAGTAACATTAAAATCCCTCTCTCATTGATTGTGTTTAATTTTCTCCAGGTATCTGGAAGAAATGCCATGTTCTTAACAGCATATTGTTGATCTAGTTCTAGAATTTAAGTATCTCATTGGTCCAGATAGCCAAATGATTTGCATTCTCTAAGGATCAAATTGGCTCAGGAGCTCTAATATATATATATTTTGTTTTTTGGTTTTTTTTACTTCCTCTTCATTCCTAATTTGATCTCCCTCTGTTGCATATGAGATTATCTAGGACATACCATGTGATAGTTCATATTTCTTCCCAGTCTTCCAGTTGGATCCCCCGCAAAGCTTTGATAAATATTGGGTTTTTTTCCTCTACATAGTGCAACAGTAATAAAAATACACACGCATTGATGCAGTTTCAAATTCACACTAGTGAGGATGCCACATACAGCAATTACATTCACTGACAAAGAAATACTGGACAGATGTAGCATACAGTCATCCTGTTGCTTCACAAGTTAGCAGCTGTGAAGGTATTTCAGTTTCCAAGTATCAGTCTCCTAGGGTGCCAATACATGTGCATCAAGACTGCTCAGATGCACTGTAATTACAGAGCTTTGGAGCAGACTCAATTAATTGAGTCTGCTGAGCATGGTAATTACTGCGTTCCAGCAGACTTCATTGTGATGTGTATTGGTATCAACGTCTCTGCACTGAAAAATGGTGGTGGAAGTGCCCCCATCACCATCTTTCAGCACAGGGATGCTGATACATGTGATGCTCTGGGCACCTTAACTAGAGCAGCTCTCGGAGCCACTCTAATTAAACCTCCCCCCTCCCCCTGCCTCCGGGAGCATGTGTATAAACACCCTTAGTTTTTTTTGTTAGGGCTGTGCTGACTGGGGTTACTTACAGAGGTAGCTTTTGTGATCTCAAGACTTGTTTGCTATCAGTAAAATTGAGACCTCCAGTTTGTTTCATAAAAGCTGCTAAGCATACAGACAGTAATGACCTTTGGGCGTTAACACCCTGGGTTCAATTTGAACTGATGACCAAAGGGCAAAATGATCCATGCCTTGTCTAATTCCCCAAGTTTTTTATAGAGCTGCCTGTTGCTGTGTCCCTTTCTCTGCAAAAATATAGCATTAACAGTCTCTTCATAGTCTTCCCTGCGACCAATAAGGATAAGAAAACACAGCCTCTGTGCATGGTACGAGGCAGATAAGGCAGAAAGCAGAGCTGCAGATTGGGCAGGAAGCAGAAACAAAGTAGCAGATTGTGCTGGGGAAAGGGATCAGAGTGGCATTAGGAGGGTACAGGACTTATTGTGTGGCACGCCTACCAAAAAGGTTGGCCCCCCACTGACTTAACCTATGGCAGATGTATGCACACATTCTAAACGGATAAAAGTTATTCGTCTTTCCCCAAATCTGGAATTAGTTTAGCAGAACAATTTTTCATTAGGTAAATTTTTGTGACGTTTACACGTCCAAGTTGTAACAAATGCCAATACTAGCATGTTCTCTTAAACTTTGAAACTAGGGTTCCTAAATTTAAGAAATCAAACTGCTTCATTGTTCTGTTCGTTCTACTGAGTGATTGTGGGGTTATGAAAACTCTTTTGTACATTAATTACTGCAGTCATAACTAACTAGCTTCCTTTATATTACATGAGGAATTATAATGCTGAGGATGATTAAGAAGACCATCCTCAATGCATGCCGAGCAATTCTCTGAAAAGAGGCCAAAGACCAGTTCCAGTAAAACAATTTGGGCCTGACTGAGATGCATTTAGCTTTCAAAAAATGGAAAATACTAGACGTGTTTGTGCAGAGTGAGAGAGTCATAATGTTCCCTCTCTGTAACAAAGTATACTCGATTATGCATACTGCATCCAGCTGTTGTTACAGCTTTCTCCATTATATATTTCATGAAATGTTCATTTAAAAGATTAAACAAAGCACCCTGCATAGAACAACATGGAACTGAATAGCATTTATGCTCATGTTGAAACTTGGACAATAAGATTTTTTTTGTTTAAGTTCTCATGTCGAATATGGACATTCTATATGAATAACAAGTAAAACGTTAAATGTGGGTGGACTCTTATTTAGCAGTAATGATCTGAGCACTGGTTATGTACTTTCAGTAATTGTATAAGAAGGTGGGGAGGGAGCAAAGTGGTAAGAGGATCATGTTAACAAAATTAGCACAAGGTACAGTTTATAATTCTGTCATAGTTATTCTCTGAACTGATTTTTAAATTTATCTAAATCAGTGGTTTTCAACATTTTATTTTCATTTGCGGACCCCTAAAAAACTTTGAATGAAGGTGCAGACCCCTTTGAATTGTAAGTGTCGATATTCACATACTTTTGATTGAGCATAGTAATCTTTCGCAAACCCCTTAAACATAGTCTGTGGACGCCCGATGGTCCATGGAGCACAAGTTGAAAACTGCTGATCTAAACTATCAAACTTTGTATTTCAGTTGTGGGAGAGTTTATTGCAGCCAGGTTCTGGTGACAGGTGCAGCAGCCTGGGCAGTACTTCTGAGAATCAACCTAAGTCATTGCTTTCCAAATGTTTCCTCAGCATGACCCCATTGATGGCCCCGTTTCCTCAGCATAGCCCCTCGCTCCCAACTCCCCACCCCCGTGACCCCATCTGCTGCTGTTGTGCCCCCATTTGGGGTTGCAACCCACAGTTTGGGAACTGCTGGATCTAAGTTCTTTCCAAACTGAGTGACATAGAGCAAGGGTTTCATTGACTTCAAAAGTCAGCCTTGGGAAGGTAGAGGAGGAAGGGAGAAGTATTGGACAGAGCATTGCAAAAATTTAAATAACACTTTGAATTTAAATTTAAATATGTACCTTCCTTAAAGATGATATCAGTTATTCCTTAAAGATAATACGTGGTGACTTACCCTTTTCTGAGGCAAAGAGTAAGGGTGAACATAATGTCTGTCTTAGCATTCAAAAGTTAGAAGGGACGGTGATTGTTTTTAAGCCTGTCCCTCTGTGTTAGGAATAAAGAGAGTAAAAATGTCGTTCTGCCTTCTTGAACTAAAAGGAAAAATATTTAACATAGCTTTAAAAGGAAAATCGGAGCATGTTAGAAGTCAGTTTAGTCTCTTGCATGGGGTTTCCATACACTTACACCTGCTACCAAAATGCTCACATTTCAACTGGAAGCAAATCCTGCTTTTATTTTCTGGATACTGCTGAAATCCTTAAGATAATGGATGCCTTTAATTATCCCCTTATTTAACATTACTCTTCAGGGACCTGTTTGGGTGTGTTACAGCCTCTTGCTCCATAAATCATCATTTAGGACTCTATGTACATGAGCCTAGAGTTTGGACATACCACCTGAGCAGGATTGAGCTGCTAATAAAGCATAAATTACAGTGTAAGATCAGATGTCCATGCTACAGTGTAAGGTCAGATGTCCATGGCTTCATATGTGACTTCACGCCTTTCCTCTGAATGATGAATTAGTATATTTTAGACAGCTTTGGCAAATATTGGATAGCAACGAAATCATGAATATATACTTAAAATATTGGTAGACATAGTGAGTGGAACCTGCCCAAGGAGTAGCAGAGATGAGGGAAGCAAAATAAAATGGATGAGCAGGTAACAGTATTGTAAAAAAAAATCTGGATTATTTGTGAATGCCAGTCTATTTCAAATGGCAATGGTACTAACATAAAGATCCTAACATAAGTTTGGAAAACATCTGCAGTGACAGTGAACGTGTTTAAAAAACAAACTTTGAAATCCTATATTTTGGGAATCTAAAATGGGCCCATATTCCTGAAGATGTCCTGTCAACCTCTTAATTTAAACAATGATGAGATGTAATCCATTAGAATTCTTCCCTTACCTGATTGTCCAAGAACTCTGATTGGTCAGTCGCATATAGATTTATTTAAAAAGTGGATTAGACATTTGCTCTCATCTTAAATCATAGTATCATAGTGCTTAGGGTTGGAAGGGACCTAAACAGATCATCAGGTCCGACCCCCTGCCCTGGGCAGGAACGGGTGCTAGGATCATATCGCCCCAGCCAAATATCTGTCCAGCCTCCCCTTGAAGACCCCCAAGGTAGGAGAGAGCACCACCTCACTTGGGAGCCTATTCCAGAGCCTGGCAGCCCTAACTGTAAAGTAATGTCTCCTGATGTCCAGCCTGAACCTTCTCTCTAACTGTTATGATTAAATTCAGTACAAAGCAGTCATAGGCCTTTATCATTCAGATACTCTGACTAGCCTTTAAAAAGATTTATCTTTCCTAATAACATCATATACAGTATATACATTCTGGCCTGTTACACTGATGGAAAGGGGAGCCCAGGAGTAATAGGACAGACTCCATTCTTAACTCCCTGTGGCTCTTTCTCCATCTCAAATGTATACCTTCTTTGTGACCCGTAGGCTTGAATTTTTCTTCTTGAACCGGAGTTCTGAATATTATGTAAAGTGTGACAACTTGTAACAATTGTACATATAAAGTTTGACCCGTACCAAAACTAGATTTTGGTATATGGAAAAAGGGAATTCAAGAGAAATAATTTCCTAGACAAACAAGGACATCCTGATTTCAGGAAGCCAAGTCAACCCTTCTGAAAGGGACCACTATCATGGCAAGTTCTTCTAAATTAAACATCCAGTCCTGACTTTATATAACACACCACTAAACTTGGTTTAAAACATAAACTAATAAAGGATCAATTTATATTGATGGATATGTATATTGCTTTTGATTGTTTAGAGAACTATTCAGTTTACATTGGAAAGATTGTCCAGAGCAGAAATGGAAAATGGGTGTCTACCTGCCATTTATTTCCAGGAAAATCTTCTTCTGGGAATTTAAACCACTATTTATGGATGTTTTCCAAACCTTTAATCTTCAAGGAGGATGTTGAGAAATAAAAGATAGTTGTTCTTTGTGTGTATGTCAGAGCCATTTTTGTTCTGGTACCATATCCATAGACCTGGATAGAATCACTCCTAATAGTTTATGAATGTTTCAGCATTGAGATGGAAAAATTAGCCAAGTAATCTTGATACTGTTGTGTATAGTTGTGTGTTGGTAAACAGATCTTTGTCCATTAAATGACCGTGCAAATGTAGATAAAATGAAGACCCTTATTATTATAACTGGCACACATTGGGTAACTTCCTTCTGTAGAGTTATTGCAGTACTGAACAGTGATTTGGCCTACCAACTCCATGTTTGGTACATGGTTAGAAATACAATGCTAACTTGGACCAGGTCTGTGCCAGGAGACTTGCTCAATAAAGAGAATGACACATTTTTTAACTAAACACAAGTAATCTGTAACTGACTTTTTAATATGCTTCTGTTTCAGGCACCTTTTTGGGTATTCCTCTTGTGTGCAGTAGGACTCTTTCTGTACCAGTCCCTGGATGCTATTGATGGGAAACAAGCCAGAAGAACAAATAGTAGTTCCCCCTTAGGGGAGCTTTTTGACCATGGTTGTGACTCTGTCTCCACAGGTAATTAATTTCTTGTTGGAAACTGGGATGGGTAGCTGGAAAAAAGTTAGTTCCATCTAAAAAAATATCATGATGCATGTTTTTGTGTCTTTGTCCTAAGAAGTGATGCATTGCTTATTTTCACTCCAATTTGCAGTGTGTAGTTGGCTGTCAGTTAAACACATAACACATTTTTAATGCTGATTATACTCAAAATCTTAACTCAGCTTGATAGACTAGCATCAACTGAAACCCAAAGAGATACAAGTGTTAGACAAGCACCTTTTAAGTCCTTATTCTCATCTTGTCTGAACTATTTAGTACAGTTAACTGGTCACTTCCTTCAGTACAGAAATCTGTTTTTCACAGGTAATAAAACCAGGCATTTTCAGCCCCATTTCTTACAGAGTTTAAAGTGCATAACTACTATAGTATCTGTTCAGACATGACAACATTCAGATGTAGAAAGAATATTACATAAGCACTTATGAGACTGAAAGAATTGAGTCCCTAGTTGAGTAAAACACTTAATAGACTACTTTACCACTGAAACAAATATTTGGTCTTTTACACGCGAGGCATCAAAAGAAATGCTTCGCTTTGTTGTGAAGGTTACATAATAGTGTTTATTTTGCATGCTCCCCCCATTTTCACCTACTTCTAAATTTTCCGGTGATTTTTAAGATGAGAGATCCCACGTTTGTTCTTCACTTGATGATGGTGGGGTTGCTTTATTTGGTTTCAAAACAAGAATTTAATTCCAAAATGTTGTGTCACTTATAGTCACTTTATACTGTTCTCTAGTCATATCCCTATGTCATTACCTGGACTATGGGTTCAGGCCTCTCTGGGCAGACTGGGGAGGGACAGAGAGTATATAAACTAAAAGGTGTAGATCTTCAACAAATTGTGAAACTTCGTGGAGCCCCCACGGGTTCCATTTTCCTGAAGGGGTTCAGGTTTCAAGTTTGGGAAATGCTCTCCTTTTAAGTTCACTGTACTATTGATACTATTGCAGTGAAACTTGTGTAGTATTTGTCTTTTGAAAATTGCAGGGAGTATAACTTCAGATTGACTCTGCTAATCCATACCTTTCAGTTTTTGTAGCCCTTGGAGCCTGCATAGCAGTTCGACTAGGAACGAATCCTGACTGGATGTTTTTCTGTTGTTTTGTGGGAATGTTCTTGTTTTATTGTGCTCACTGGCAGACCTATGTGTCGGGCATGTTAAAGTTTGCAACGTAAGTAGATCTCTTCAGATGTTTTTGCGCTTTGATCTTGTAATCTTGGTTTTCTTAAAATTTCTGTTCTAAACAGCTGACAGTAACTTTTCTGCCAGGTGTATGTGTTCCCTTGATGATATTTTAACAACTTGCTACTTCAATTCAGCATATGACAGTCTTTTAGCCAAGTGTATATGCTGGGGTACATTCGTAACCATCTGCCACGTTACCAGTTTTTTCTCTGCACCCTTTTAATGCTGTCAAGTGGGAGTTCTCAAATTTGAAGAAAAAATTGCTCCATGGTACAATACACAGCTTTCCTACTGCAGGCAATACTAATCCTTCCATCATTTAGGAGAGACTTGGTTAATGCTCGTAAAAAGCTCTCCATCACTTTGCTGTTCTATATATTTAACTGTCTGTTTCATATAAAGTTCATGTGTCTAGCTCCTGAAATTTATCAAAAGTTATGTTGCTTGCAAAATCCTGTTTTCCTGAAGGTTTCACATGTATCCAAGACTTCTGTCAAATTGATGTTCCATTAGTACATAACTACATACAATAATGGCTTTGTAGTGTCACTGTGCCATTAAGGGTACATAGTACCTACTTTTTTTTGGCT